GTTGGATTTGAAAAACCTGTTTTGCTAAAAGTTGTTTTAAAGCTTTTATAAATTTTAATTAAAAACAGTACTGGCTGCTCAGTCAATGAAAGCATAATTTCCTTTTGAAATACATGAAAGTCTTATTTCATGGTACAATTTAATAATAATGTGCTTGTTCCATACATCTTGTCCATATAAAATTTGTAAAGCTTCAGTAAATAATAAATTTTATAAGGCCGTACTATAAAGCTTTCACTGATCACCAGAATGAAATTCCAACGCTATGATTTTGAACCCTAACTTCATATTCAAACTCGTTTTCCCCAAAAACTGAAATTATATGGAAAAAATATTTAGTCTTTATTTATCTTGTCAAACCCCAACTTTAAAATTGAGTGCAATACCAAAATTGACCAGCCGTACAACAGCATATCTTGGGTAACAGTGTCCAGAGCAGCAGCGATTCTACTGCATTTTTGGCAAATACTCTCACGAATACTCTCTGCAGTCTTATTCAAACATGCTCTGACACACAAGATGCCTTTTCTTTTCCAATGAATGTCGTTTCTATATCTGAAAGGAAAAAAACATTAAACAGAATTTTGAGTTGTTTCTACACATGATGTTAAATTTAAGATCATTTGAATGAGAATTGGTCAAGTGATTAGATTACAAAATGATATCAATTTTTCTGAAACATCCTGTATGAAAGAAAATTGTTAATAGTTATTTAATTTGGCTTGCTTGAAAAGGAGAAAATTAGATTAAAAATTCTAACCCTAACCCATGCCTCTCCAGGATATGGGTAATTGTGACTCTCCACAACTTTCTGTTTTTTGTTGCTTTCAGCAATTTTTCTCCCTCTTTGTACCATGCCCGTTCAGAACAGTTATGGTTCTCCACAGCTTCCTGTTATTTGTACTGTTGTTTTATTCAGTATGTAATATCTGATGCTGGATTAATAAGTTTGTAGCCTAATTTAGTTATGAGCCAACATTGTTTGGATGTTCAAGTTTCTTTATATATTATTTTTAAGAGATTGGGAAAATGGAAAAACTCTATGTAACATGTTTCATCCTTTAAAAAGAACTTCATCAGGCTAAAATTATCTTATGGAATTATATAAACTGGGGGAGGGGAATATAAACAAAACATTGGATATAGTAATGCATGGAGTGGAAATGCTGAAGATATACAGATACTAAATTAAAATTTCTGGTATCTAACATGTCTAGAGGCAAAAACTCAGGTGATTTCATTTTGTTTTCCAGTGCTTTTGATTTTATCACTGTTTTTTTTTTGTTTTTTTTTTTTTTAAATATCTCAAAATGGTTGCAGCTAGCAATTTCAGGAGTGAAATTATGAGACCCAGCTGCTATTTTAGTTCTGTGCTTAAATTTGTAAAGTCAAATTAACAAAGAGGAAAGCTTCTCAGAACAGTTGCCATGAAAACATTTATAGAAAAAGCACAGAAAAGCTGTTTTAATGGGAAAATGAGTGAAGCTGAAATGCTATGTCAATACTCTAGGCATACAGCAGAAGACTACTTAATCACTCACTTCTATCAAGGCTGGACAGTGAGGAATGGACTACAGGAGTGAGGTATTTTCTGGAGCAATACAAAGAACCAACTATTCTTCCTTTGAAATTGATGATGAAAGCACAAAATCCAGTGTTTTCTTCATGCAGAAGGGATAATTATATTCAAAGTTCAGATATAACTCTTTGTATACATAAGTGCAATAACAACTAAAAAGTAAGTATATCACAAAAGTGAGGATTGTAAAAACTTGATTTACACAGGAAAGATTTTAGTAAACCGTAACTTCTGAAAACAGCTTACAATGCAGATAGAGAATGATGTCAATGAATATGCAGAAACAGAACACACTATTTAAACAGATTGATTAACTCTATTTACATTATTTGGACTATTGTCCTCATCTTTGTCGCCATATTTATTACAACATTTCGGCCGTTGTACACTCCGGCCTTCTTCAGGTGGTTGGAATGTCGAACTGAACCCTTTATTTTGCTCACTGGGGTAGACTGTTCTAATTCCACGTGCCATGTTTTTGATGGATGTCAGTTATCAGTTATCTCCTGTTAATTTCCCTCTGAAAGTTCTCCACTGCCTTAACTGGGTATTGAACTCACATTCTTTGGGTCCTGTCACTAGACATTAGGTTTATAATACCCAGAAATTCATATGCAGATGTCCTCAAAGACACATGGCACAGTAAATAAAGGTGCTGGTTAGATCCAGTGACAGGACCCAAAGAGTATGAGTTCAACTTCCAACAGTGATATTCTGTGTTCTGTTTATACGCAATCGTCATGATGATTGCATAATATGCATGAAATAGACTGTCACCACTGGGTATTGACTTCAATGTCCACTTTTATATTTACATGCACTCTACGACCAATATTGAGCACTTTAACCCATAAATATAGCTTTATATATATATATATATATATCTATCTATATATATATATATATATATATATATATATATATATATATATTCAGGTAAAAAATGAGAAGGATTAGAGTACAATTCCACCATTCATAACATAATGAATGTTTCAATGCATTGTTTGTATCCATCTCATTAGGCAATTATAATTTACAATCGCCTGATGAGATGCATATCAACTCATTGAAACACAACTGTTGATGTAATATCCTAAAATAAATATGTATGTGTATGTATATATATATATATATATATATATATATATATATATATATATATATATATATATATATATATATATATATGGATATACTAAGATCTTCAAACATTAATAGCAATGATATTTCTGAAGCAGGCATTTATAAAATAAATTGCCAAAACTGTTCCGTCCAATATATTGGAGAAACAAGTAGAAGTTTAAAAAACACATTTATGAGCACAAAAGAGACCCTGTTAAAAAAACAACTTAGCTAAAGCACTAGTCATACATAGAAATAAATTCAGCCATAATTTTGATTTTAAAAATGCTACACTCATAAAAAAAAAAAAGAAAATAACTCACTCAGAAGGAAAATTCTAGAGAGTGCTGCCATAGATTATTACCCAAATATTAATCTACGCCCAGGTTTTTTCTCCATTTCACCTTTCTTAACAAAATTACTGCTCTCACTAACAAATGTACAGAACAGATTCATAAAATCAAAAGGAAATGGTTGAATACATCAACACAGATATAATGAAAATATTCTCCACACGTGTTAAATACTGACGTTATTTTCAGTTAACAATATGAAAATAGTGTTTCTCTACATTCCAGTTGCGAGGAACATTCTGTTTTTGTTTTTATTAGTTACCTTGTTCAGTTAAATTCATTTCGTATTTTGCTTTGATAAAGTCCACATTGGACAAAACGCATCAGCAATTACTAGTTTTCCTATTGTCATTTTTATTCATATATATATATATATATATATATATATATATATATATACAATATTTAGGAAAAATGTCAGACAAAATGAAAAAAAGTTTTCTTGTGATGTGTTTCATCCTTTAGGACTTCAATGGATTAAATTTCTTATATATTTAAGCAAATTTACTCCAAGCAAGGCAGTAAAGCCACTAAAACACAAGGGGTTACAGGGTGTGAAAAAATTTGAAGACAGAAAACATTATGAAGGAACAGCAACAACATTGCATTTAAATTTACATATATATATACATACACATATACACATACATATATATATATATATATATATATATATATATAATATATATATAAGTAAGAAAGATTACCCATCTAAAAATAATTACAAATTACATTCATAAATTAGATTCAAACTGATAAAGATGTTACCTTAACTGTCTTTTACAATATTAAAAGAGTACTATTCGTCGGGTAAACAAACTGTTATAGTTTAAATATGTTCTCTATGAATGTGTTAATAAATACAGTATTTAACTTATATTAAATCCCTAAATTATTTGTAAAAAAGTTAAATTGCTAGCAAGCATCAAATTAATTTCTTCGGGGTTTGTTTGACATCTAAATTAATATCAAACATTAAAATCTATTTTTTACATAAATTGCTAAAACTTACCAACCATCTCCTAAATATGTTAAACCCATTTACAGCCTCTTTCTCTTTACTTCCCTCTCCCTCTTCTTTCTTTTTCCTTTTTATTTTCTCTCTTCTTCCCTCCCATTTCAATATATCACTTCCGTTAAGCTAACCATTTAAATAGGTCATGGTCTGGTCACTCCTCCTCCCCCAGTACTAAGTATGATTGAGAGAGATATTAAATTAAACCCTCCCTAAACTCTCCTATTACACTCTCTGTTAAATTACAAAAACTTACCCTGCCCATCAATTTTCATTTCATTTTTCGAAGTGCTATCCGATGACCTGGAGTCCTTTAAAAGGGCTCTGGTGAAATAAATTATTATAATGGAACCTTAAAGTGGTCTGTTTTTCTTTAAAATATATATATATATATATATAATCTTTCAATGGTGGACATATTAAAGACTCTTCTGAAAAACTTTAAAAAATAAGCATTTGTTTAGCAAAATAAATGCTTCTTTTTTTTTTTTCCATCATTCACGCTACAGAATTATTGATGTTCTCTGGAGGCTTCTATTCTTATGCTTTCATCAAGCTATGTTCTCTTCTACGTTTTCCTTAAAAGCATGTATTTCCATAAGGGTCATACTTGACTCTCTATAAAAACAAATGCAAAGAAGTTTTAACTCTTGCCTTTATTTTTTATCTATTTTATTACTTTTCTGATGTTCTTTTAGGCTGGTTTGTCATCTCAGGACAATTTTTAGTGCTTATGAACCACAAAAAAAAATGTTTTTCTTTGTAAGTGAATGTAATGCATCTGCTCTTTCCCATATTGCTTCACCTGACCATTCCCTCATCAAGTGACACCTCAGTGATCTTCCAACCCCCTTAACTATCTCGACTCTTACCCATTAGATTAAGCCCAGCATTGTTGTGGAAAATGGAAACCTAATAGCCATGCCATGCCTTATGAATAGCGAGGATATGAATGGTGTTTTTGCTGAAAGATAATCACATCTGCGAATATTTTGCCAATATTACTTGTAAAAAGGATATTGGTTGGAGGAGAAGTAACATGAGATGAACAAATGTAAGAAAAATAATGATGGAAATAGGAAAAAAAAAAAAAAAGGATAGAGAAGGAAAGTAAGAAGCAGAGAAAAAAAGAGGAAGAAAACGCCAGGAAGACTAGAAGAAAAAGAGAGAGAATATAAAGAAGAAATGATAAGAAAAATTAGAAAAGAAAGTTGAATGAAAAAAATAAGAAATAGAAATGAAGAGATATCAAACAGGAAGAAAAGGAAAAATATAATAGGAAAGAAAAGTGAATTTGAGAGAAAGAGTAAAGAATGTAAGAGGGAGATAAAAGAAATGAAGAGAAAATGGGAAGAAAATGGGAAGAAAAGAAAAAAGTAAAAAATAGAATAATGGAAAAGTTGAAAAATAAAGAAAAAAATAAAATGAAAAAAAAAAACAATGGTAAAAACGGGAGTGGTGAATGTAAGAAGAAAGCGGAAAAGAAATAAAAAGAAAACAAAGAAAAATGAGAAAAAACAAAAGCTAGAATGGAAAAGGTGAAAAAAAAATAGGAAAGGAAGGAAGGAAAAATGTACAACATGAAAGAATAGAAAAGATAAAATGAAGAAAAAGAAAAAAGTAATAAAAAAAAAAATGAAAAGAAAAGGAGTGACAAATATAAAAGCAAAATGGAAAGAAAGTGAAAAAAAGAGAATAGAAAGGAAAAATTAAGGGAAAGGAAGAAAAATAAGAATTAAAAGAAAAAAAGTAAGACTTTTAGATAGATGAAATCAGAAATATAAAGGAATTAAATAAAAAGTATAATTTAAAAGGAAAGAAGAAACACAGAGAGGAGAAAGATTACAAAGTTAATATATACACACCAAAAGAAAAACATCAAATAAAGACAAAAAGAAATAAATGTGACAAGTATTGAAAAGGAACATAAATACAGAAAGAAAGATGAGAGAAAAAAAAGAAATACAATTTTGAAAAACAAAAGATGGAAAAACAAATATTTGAGACAAAAATAAATATTTACCATAAATCATTTTACCCAAATAATTCTCTTGATACATATTCTAACCAAACAAGTAACAATTAAAAACAAAAAAATTGGGATTTAAGTAAAGAGAAATCTAATCTTTTTTGCTTTTCTTCATTTCCATAAATCTCCTGCATTCACATGATTGCATTCACTCCTTTTTTTTAAAACCCATCACTAAGTTCCAGTTATCTCCTCTTACTTTTTAGTGATTTTTTTGTTTTTTTTTTTATTTCCTCCCATATTTTTTTCTATTTTTAAACCTTTATTTCCTCCATTTCTCAGTCACGATTCTCATAATCTCTTGAACCTCTTCAGCTCGTTTTATTTTCTTTAATCTTAAGTTTCTGTCCTTCATTGATCCTCTTTTCACTTTTATGTTATGCTTCCCTTCAAAATTGTTAAAAAACATCTCTTGATTATCTTTTTTCTCATTTTGAGATTGAGGTTGCTCTTCTGAAATTTATTCAGTCTTTTTTTGTTTTTATATACTTTTCTCCCTTCATTGTTAATCTACACTGAATATTATCTTTTATTCCCATGCAGTTCCTTTCTATAGATTTCTATATTTTTCTCTTGTTTTTATTTTCAGTATTTTTAAGCTGCATTTTTACTTTGTCATTTTCCTCCATTTAATATTCTCCAAATCTTTTGCACAGTATTTTCTTGATATTTTTCTTGTGTTTTCATTCTTTCACTCTTGAATATTTTTCTCTTGTTTTTTCTTCTTCTTGTGGCTTCTCATTCATATTGATTTATTTTTAATTCATTCTTCCTTTTTTAAATTCAGTTTCTCTTGTTTATTTTCTTTAAGATTCTTATTCTTGTGCATCTAATTTTCATTCTTGTTATTTTTTTTTAAATCTTTTTTTTTTTTGTACTTTTGCACTTTTTTATTCTATCAGTTTAACAATCTTATATCCCCTAGCACCCTTCTAGAATTAGGCATTTTTCTTTTACTAATATTACTGTTCTAAATCTGTGCTTTTCTTGTAGTTATTCACTTGTTGAGAATTAAATGTATAAGAAAGGAACAAATTCTTATTCAACCAATAATACCTATCTATTGTCATGAACTGTATTTTTAGTCATTTGATTTCTTAGTTTTTAATCATGCTATCTTATGCAAATCTCATAATCATAATTCTCTACCTTTATACATTATATTAACCCTAGAGACTCATTATGTGGTTTCCCCTGTGGCATATGGACCAAAACCTCACATTGCCAGGTGTTGCTATGGTTTCCCTTATTGATTATGGGACCACAGACTCACCATGCTAGCTGTTGCTGTGGTCTTCACTGAGAAATATAGGGCCTGTAGGGATATTGTTGTTCCAAATAAATGAAATAATATTAATGAAAATTATAAATAAAATAAAACAATAATATTTAAACTGTGTTTAAAATAAATGAAATAAAAAAATAAAAAAAATAATGAAATTATTTCCAGCATGCAACAAAAACTGTTCCTGCCAGAAATAGACATCCCACAAAAAGACGTGATATTCAGCATCTTCGCCCAAGAACTGTCAAGATGACATGTGTAACTATGATAGGACTTGTAATATTGCAGAGAAAATTGCTCCCTTTTATAACACGTACATGGTGGAATGACGGATAGCAGCTCGAAATGAGGAATCAGAGAGCCAAGTTCAAATTCCAGTCGAATCCATGACATTCACTTATGTGCTAATACCCTTATGAAAGGCATGCATCTTCATTTTCTCCCCCCACCCAGCTATGGGTAATTAGCAGAACAGACCAGGTTCTATAGGCTTGGATGGCAACTTGTCTTCTGCAGAAAGAAATGGCAACCTACTTTGAGAAAAAAATCTTCCTCGTCAGTCATGTATCGAAAGATACATGATCGCCTAAGCATGTATCATGCATGGCACGTAACTGACTGACATTAACACAGTTGTAATGTAAAATATACTCACTAATGCATGAATAAAATTGTATGAAATTACCATTCAATTTGCCATGCTGTCACTGTTATTGCATACATTTATTTTACTGTTTTTAACTTTGTGAAAGCCAAGCCTAAAATTACACTATCACTACAGTGTGAGTGAATACACCACAGGCCACAACCTCACATTACCAGGTATTACCATGGTATGCCCTGGGGAGTATATGGCCACAAACTCAGATTGCCAAGTGTTGCAGTAGTCTTCTTTATTCAATATAGTGTCAGAGTTTCACCATGCCAGGTATTGCTGCTATGGTTTCTCTTGTGGAGTATGGGGCCAAAACCTCACCTTACCAGGTGTTGCTGTGGGATACTGGACAAAAGTCTCATCATGATAGGCTTACTATTGTGGTTTTCAGGAGAAGTATGGGGTTTGCTAGCTGCATACCCAAATGGTTTGGAACACAGTTGTCTTTTTCCTAGACTGGTTGCAAACAAAGCTAAAAATCCCAGTCTACCCTACTATTTAACCTATAGCTGGCAGGTAAGAGACTGATTCATACTTTTCTAAAGAGTATTTCTGAGGAATAAAATGAAATAGCCTTGGCTGGAACTTGAACTCTACTTGCTAAACTCCCTTTTAGCACTATAACCACTATGCTACAGCCACATCCATTTATTCTGTTAAGCTTTTAATTAATAATTTCTTTGAATTTTTCAACATTCTTTTGCAAGGACAATTGTTCTCTTTCTCATGGCCTACATCAATACAACCTGTTGTTTATGCACTTATCCTTTCAGTGTTTGTGAAATATTTCTTTGCATCAAAAATGTTTTAACAGCTTGCCTGATTAAACCAACTTTAAAGGGAATTTTTCTGCTTTTATTACCTTGCCTATTGAAGAGATGAAACCCAATAAACCATGTTGAACACCTGTCATGGCGTGACCTTGAGGTTATAGGCTTTTGCTACTTCTGTTGCTAGACATTCTTACACATATACTCCCTTTTAATTTTTATATATATATATATATATATATATATATATGGACACATGTAAAAATTTCAGATAGAATATATGTGCAAAAAGACTTTGGATGATGCAGTTTTTCCTCTGAGGATCTTTATCAAGACAATTTTTTATTCATATATATGTTGTGGAGTGATTTCACAGTAGAGGCTTGTATTTGTACTAAGTCGGTCCTAAAATAGGTTCGAGGTACAAAACGTTAGGAACTTGACATAACAGGTATTACACAGAGTAGTGGTGGTCACTGATACTTTAGTATTTGACTAACTGTCGTCCAACATCGACTGACTGACTGACCAACTCACTGACTCCCTCGTTACTCTTACTACCCCTACTTATTATAGGTGGGAGAGTCTCTTAACTATAGAATAGGTGTGTTCCACTATAACAAAAATATATATATATATATATATATATATATATATGTACTAGCAGGCTTTGCCTGCTCACTATCACTTTGCAAAGTAAGATATGTTCAATACTTGAAATCTCTGAGACAATAATTTTAAATGAACATGTCTTTCATAAATTGGCTGGCTATAGTTAAAGAAAGTTTTACAAATAGATGCTAACTTGTTGAATGCCAAGTAAAATGCAAATTTTAAACACTTTTCTGCACTCTATAAGACAATATTGCTAAACAGAACTATTTTTGATATGAAAATCAGAACAATCCTTCAATAAAAGAATGGTAATGAAGGACAGTTAATTAATGAAATATACTTTTTCAAAATCAATATACAAATTATTTAAACCTGAAGAGTGATATTGCCAAGAAGTAGATAATATATAATACAGATATGGAGCTTTTAGCGTGTAAATTACTCTTTTTGAGTAATTTCATGTCTAATCATCTCTCAGTTGTGTCTCTGTCTTTGCGTAGAGTGCACTCAGGAGTGACTCCATCAAAGAACAGTCGCAACTGAGGAAAATTATACTGAGAGGTGCTGGCCCTAGGGAACAGCTGCCTGAGGCCACGCCTTCTCATTGCACTAGAGAGAAGGATTGGTGCATGCACTGAGGCCAGCGCAACCAATGGTTGCAAGGACTCGGTTAATTTTTGTTCCTTGCCCGGGTGCACATGCTCAGGCTCCCCACATTAATCCAACCTTGTGTCACAACCTGACCTCGTCGGGGATTGAGTAAATACAAATTACTCTGTGGAGTTATTTCTAGCACGTTTATTTATCATCTCTCAATTGTGTCTCTGTCTTTGGACAGAGTGCACTCAGGAGCTACTCTATCAAAGGACAGAGTGCCAAATGAGGAAAATTATACTGAGATAACAGCTGGGGAACAGCTGCCCAAAGCCATGCCAACTCATGGCACCAGAGAGAGGGATTGGTGCTTGCACTTAAAATTTTAAGCTAGCTGCAATTTTGGATACAAAAGGAAAATAAGAGTTACTCCTCTTGAACCATGAAAGCAACAATAATGGCTAGTATAATGTATTAATATATATTTTTAACCTTGCATAATCTGGCAACCTTGAATTTGAGCTCAATGAAAATCATTTCCTGTGCCTAACTTTCCAAGAAAAGTTAGGCACAGGAAATGATTTTGGAATGAGCTATGAATCATTTAAATCTGACCAGTGGGAGCAGAAGAGTTGCTTGGACACACACTGTAATTTATGTATATATATATATATATATATATATATATATATATACACACATACTGAGGCTGGTAACTTGTATCTGAGTATTCCTGTTTGTTAGGAAAGCTAGCCAATCCCTGTTGCAGACGCCTGCTCAGGCACATTTGTCTTTGCTCAACACCCACAAAGCCTGCCTTTGGTTTATACTGCAACTATGCTGAGCAGGCCTTAGTTACAGCTTCTGGGAGACACTACATCATCTGGCCTGATCAATAGTTTTAGCAAGTACAGTATGCTCAAACTCTTGGTCACAATGAGTTGTGTGAGCAAAACCATCAGCAAACAATTCAGTCGACTCTTTCACACTCAATGCTAGGCTCAACATGTGGTGTGGTTTTCAGACACTTTCCAAAGATGCTGCATGCTGGGATCACCTCTCCAAGCCTTTGGCATCAAGAAGTC